TATTGACTTATTAACTACGTGCAAAGGTGATATACTAAACATAATAGATACCCTTAAAAGCTTCATAGAAAACACCGACCTTATCTAACCTTATTAGTATCTTAAGATAAGCATCTTATAGCTTCATAATTACAATTGTTACTTAACCTATTATAGGTATAGGTTAAGTAATAATTGTAATTACGAAGCAATAAGATGCTTATCTTAAGATACTAACAAGGTTAGGTAAGGTCGGTGTTTTCTATGAAGCTTTTTAAGGGTATCTATTATGTTTAGTATATCACCTATGCACGTAGTTAATAAGTCAATATTGACTTTACGAATTTGCGAGAACGGGTTGCTAAAGATGACAAGTTTAAGCCTATAATCCGGGACTTTTTGGAGAGCGGGCACCAGTTATTGGAGAATAATGAACTAACGCATTGCCTTGCACACACACACACACACACACAAACATACACACACCACACACACCACACACACACACACACACACACACCCACACACACACCACACACACCACACACACACACCACCACACACACCACACACACACACACACACACACACCACACACACCACACACACACACACACACACACACCACACACACACCACACACACCACACACACCACACACACACACACACACACACACACACACACACACAACCACACACAACCACAATTCACACACAAACAAAAAGTCATAAACAACGGAAGACAAACATGCACTCCAGATATAACAAAAAATCATATAAATAACTGAAAACATCAAAGAAAAACTCGACTGGGAAAAAAATAACTTGCCAGGTACAGAAGCTGATATAAAAAAAACACGGCTGTTAACCATCCTGGGAAAAAACGAGACGGAAAAATGTTGGACATCAACAGAGCGGAACTTTACATGGAAAAGGTAAACACACAGTGAACGGACGCTGTCATCAATGCCCCCTTGGTCTGAGAGTATTGATGGACCTTGTTAGACATGCTGCTTTTACTATTTGTGCTTGCAGGATCGAGCATTGACTCTTGGATCCCGCATTTCTAACCGTAGGTTGTCTAATATACTGTACTGTGTGTGTGTGTGTGTGTGTGTGTGTGTGTGTGTGTGTGTGTGTGTACTCACCTAGTTGTGTTTGCGGGGCTTGAGCTCTGGCTCTTTGGTCCCGCCTCTCAACCGTCAATCAACTGGTGTACAAGTTCCTGAGCCTATTGGGCTCTATCATATCTACACTTGAAACTTTGTATGGAGTCAGCCTCCACCACATCGCTGCCTAATGCATTCCATTTGTCAACCACTCTGACACTAAAAAAGTTCTTTCTAATATCTCTGTGGCTCATTTGGGCACTCTGTTTCCACCTGTGTGTGTGTGTGTGTGTGTGTGTGTACTCACCTATTTGTGCTTGCAAGATCGAGCATTGCCTCTTGGATCCCGCCTTTCGAGCCATCGGTTATTTGCAGCAATGACTATGGTCCTATTTCCCTATCATACCTAGTTTTAAAATTATGAATAGTATTTGCTTCCACAACCTGTTCCTTAAGTGCATCCCATTTTCCCACTACTCTCACGCTAAAAGAATACTTCCTAACATTTCTGTGACTCATCTGAGTTTCCAGCTTCCATCTATGTCCCCTCGTTCTGTTACTATTCCGTGTGAACATTTCGTCTATGTCCACTCTGTCACTCCCCCTAAGTTTTTATACGTTCCTATCATTTTAAAATGATAGGAATTCAGATGATAGGAAAGATGATTTAAGATGATTTTAAGATAGGAAAAATTAAAATTAGGGAGTGTCTGAGATGCATAGGGAGGTTGAGAGGTAGCGTGAGGCTGAGAGTCAGATAGAGGTTGGGGGGAAGATAGATAGTGGGATGGGGGGAATAGGGGAGAATGGAGCTTGGATAGTGTGTGTGTGTGTGTGTGTGGGGGGGGGGGGGGGTACTATATTCTGTGTGAGTGGTACAATATGTACTATATTGTGTGTGTGTGCGCGCACGCGTGTGTGCATGTGAGTGTGCGCACGCGTGTGTGTATGTGAGTGTGTGCACGCATGTGTGAGAGAGAGAGAGAGAGAGAGAGAGAGAGAGAGAGAGAGAGAGAGAGAGAGAGAGAGAGAGAGAGAGAGAGAGAGAGAGAGAGAGAGAGCGCATACACAAGTGACTACACATATGTGTATGTGAATATACCCCCCCCCCCCTTCCCGAGTAACGTATTTTTAAGCATTCGGAGAACATCCCAACTTTTGTTTCGGTGGGTGACTTACTTGACCATTGTATTCCCTTGTGAGGTTGTTACCTCCGGGTTACCTTGAGGTGCTTCCGGGGCTTAGCATCCCCGCGGCCCGGTCGTCGACCAGGCCTCCTGGTTGCTGGGAAGATTGCTGACTTGCTTCTGGTTCCAACCTTGTGGGTCATATTCATGTTGCTGAAGTTACCCCAAAACTACGTTGAACGTCGACATGTGTTGTCTGAAGACAACAGCGGTAGTTAGTGTGTCTTCAACGAACTATGGTAAAGCAGCACTTGTTAGCGGCTCACAGGTGGAGGTAATTCTTATGTAGATCGTCTTCACTCGGTTCAAATAATATAGGAGCACTTCAATCCCCTGATTTCACTAAGCTGTGAAAGCTGTGATTTCACTAAGCTGTGAAAGCTGTGATTTCACTAAGCTGTGAAAGCTGTGATTTCACTAAGCTGTGAAAGCTGTGATTTCACAGCTTGCTGTGATTTCACTAAGTTATGATTTCACTGTAAGCTCTGAAACCCGCTGCGTCAAAAGGAAATCTGCACTTGTAAAAGTTTTCTGGCCAATACTGCACTACCATTCTTCCTTATCGTGTATGAATAGTGCAGTCGGCCTGATTCTGCCCCCCAGATAACCCCAGATAACCCCAGCTCTGCGCCCGGGGGAAAACATCACACCCAAAAAAAGAAAGCATCAACTGCTGCCCCTGGCTGACAATACACGAGACTCTGGAAAGCACCAATCCAATATTAACATTATCCTTTCACATACTCAAGCTAAGTCGTAAAACTCACTCGGCTCCATCGCTGGGCGTCACCGGTCGCGCTTTTGGCAATATGAGAGAGCGTCACCAGGCGGTTTATGTAAGGCTTCTCACCAGCCTGAGTATTAGAGCAATTTGGGTAATGTGTCGCACGAGGAGGGGGGGAAAGTTCCTGCAAGAGCTCGTTGCTTGCTCACTCGTGTTTGGTTGTGTCTAGAGTGCTCTCCGCCTCTAGTGCTTTCTGCTGTTCAATTATGATTTCGGTGTGTGTTCAGGCAGGGCTGGCTCGCTGCCCTGTTAATACAGGGGGGGACTAAACTACTAAATAGGGGGGGATATTCCCCCCTATTAAAAGCTGCGGCTTTGTTTTGTAACTCGTGGAAGATTTCAAGGCGCTCAATTCAGTCTTTTGTATGTTACAATGGAGTGGTGATATTACTCCAGGCTGTCGCGTTTATCCTCCAGACTATAGGCTCTGGAGGAGGAAGAGGATAGTCAAGGAACCCTTGCTCAAGTTCATCCTAACCCTCTCCTCCCCTCCCCCCTTGGACGGTATCGGGGTGGGGGGGAGGGGAAAGCGCCAAGCCATTACGACTATATAGCACTTGGAAGGGGTCAGCATAAGGATTTGGGATGGGACAGGGGACGGAATAGTGCCTAACCACTTGTACGGTCGGGGGTTGAACGCCGACCTGCATGAAGCAAAACCGTCGCTCTACCGTCCAGCCCAAATGGTTGGAGCCCTTGGACGGTAGAGCGAGGGTCTCGCTTCATGCAGGTCGGCGTTCAATCCCCGACCGTCCAAGTGGTTGGGCACTATTCCGTCCCCTGTCCTATCCGAAATCCTTATTCTCACCCCTTCCAAATGCTATATAATCGTAATGGCTTAGTGCTATCGCCTGCTAGTTCCCTACCCTTCACTAACTTCCCTACTCTTCACCCCCCTCCACCCCGCCCCCCCCCAGGTCACTAACCTCGTCCCTCGGATGCTCACTGGGTACAGATCTTTCATCATGACACTAATTGGTCCCGAGGTGTGGGCTTACACTATTCTTATCGTAGTGTGTGAGTTTGTAACGTTCGGCGGCCATTATTTTGCTCTCAATCCCACCTCCCCCTCTCTCTCTCTCTCTCCCTCCCTCTCTCTCTCTCTCTCTCTCTCTCTCTCTCTCTCTCTCTCTCTCTCTCTCTCTCTCTCTCTCTCTCTCTCTCTCTCTCTCTCTCTCTCTCTCTCTCTCTCTCTCTCTCTCTCTCTCTTTCTCTCTTTCTCTCTCTCTCTCTCTCTCTCTTTCTCTCTCTCTCTCTCTCTCTCTCTCTCTCTCTCTCTCTCTCTCTCTCTCTCTCTCTCTCTCTCTCTCTCTCTCTCTCTCTCTCTCTCTCTCAGGCGAAGTTAAGGATGCCGGCTCACAGACCCCAAGTGATAGACCCCGTTAAGGATGCTGATCTTATTTAATTTGTTTAGTAAACTTGCAAGTCGGCGAAAAAATTCCTCGGTGTTCTTCAGTCATTATTTTAAAGCAGTCTTCCTGGTGAGGGAGAAGGTTGGCAAGGTGAGGCGAGGCGGTGGTGAGGCGAGGAAGCTGGATGAATAACGATGCTGGTAAGATGAGTAATGAGGACAAACAGGCAAGGTGAGATGAGTAATGAGGTATTTTTGTATTCTTGTATTCTTATACAGCCACTATACATATTCTTGCTCCAATCATATACACTATACATATTCTTGTATACCACGCATAGCGTTTCAGACGGGTTCTTATAATCCTAATTATCCCCCGGAATACGACCCGCCAAATTGTTTAACAACTAGGTACCCGTTCACTGTTGGGTGAACAGGGGCTATAGTTAAAGATTGGGGGCCGGGTCAATCCTCCTCCGTCAGGATACAAACCCAGGCCAAAGCGCTCGCGAAGCGCCGGGCGAATGTTTTACCACTGCGCCACGGGGACTCTGAGGTCAGAGAGGTGAGGTGAGGCGAGACAGCTGCCTAGGAAGGCGAAAAAGTGACAATTGTGAAGTGATGTATTAGGGGGTCTATAGGTACTGAGAGGCCAGGACTGAGAGCTAGACACTCTTCGAGGCCAGGACTGAGAGCTAGACACACTTCGAGGCCAGGACTGAGAGCTAGACACACTTCGAGGCCAGGACTGAGAGCTAGACACACTTCGAGGCCAGGACTGAGAGCTAGACACACTTCGAGGCCAGGACTGAGAGCTAGACACTCTTCGAGGCCAGGACTGAGAGCTAGACACTCTTCGAGGCCAGGACTGAGAGCTAGAGACACTTCGAGGCCAGGACTGAGAGCTAGAGACACTTCGAGGCCAGGACTGAGAGCAAGACACTCTTCGAGGCCAGGACTGAGAGCAAGAGACACTTCGAGGCCAGGACTGAGAGCAAGAGACACTTCGAGGCCAGGACTGAGAGCTAGAGACACTTCGAGGCCAGGACTGAGAGCAAGAGACACTTCGAGGCCAGGACTGAGAGCAAGAGACACTTCGAGGCCAGGACTGAGAGCAAGAGACACTTCGAGGCCAGGACTGAGAGCAAGAGACACTTCGAGGCCAGGACGGAGGGGTCAGCGAGGCGCTGAACGATGTAGCGCGGTAAAGAGTTGCTGATTTAAATTTCTGTCAGAGAACTTGCAGAGAAACGAAGCAAACATATACAGGTATTGGACATGCACAGAACAAGTTGACTCGGGAATATATGATTGAATGTGATGTTTTGCCCTCAACGGCAATGTTGCCATTCTCGCCGGGAAAAAAGATCTGACCTTCCACTGTGTGGCACCACAGTCTGACCTGCCACTGTATGGCACCATAATACACTATTATGTGCGTGTGACATGTTTATCTTAAATGAAACTCCCGCCACGTTGTATAGGCTTTACCACTGTATACTAAACTGCAAGTTATAGTATGTGTGTGTATATATATATATATATATATATATATATATATATATATATATATATATATATATATATATATATATATATATATATATATATATAGCTGTACTGTTACTGTACTCCCTCCCCTCTCCCTCCCTCTCCCACTCTCTCCCCCTCTCCCTCTCTCTCTCTCTCTCTCTCTCTCTCTCTCTCTCTCTCTCTCTCTCTCTCTCTCTCTCTCTCTCTCTCTCTCTCTCTCTCTCTCTCTCTCTCTCTCTCTCCCTCCCTCTCCCTCCCTCTCCCACTCTGGAGGACAAATACCTCACCAGTAGAGGGCGGCTGCGGGACTAGTGAGGACGCATAACTTGAGCGAGGCGGCAGTGTGTTATAGTGTTATTGGTCCCCAAGAGGCGGCAAACGTATTTTATTATCTTCAGAGCAAAGCACAAGTGAGATGAGGAACGTTGCACAATTTTCCCACCTGAACGTGATGTCATGTTACTGCTGCCGTTCATGTTCCTTGTTCCTGTCCCTTTGTTTTCTGTGTTCCCGGATGCCTAATGGAACAATTCGTGACGTAACAGGGGAAAACTGCTGGGGGGGGGGGTAGAGGAAGAGAAGAACGAGGGGGTGACTGCTGGCGGCCCGGGCCAGGGGTGTGGGAGGCAGGAGTGGCCCGGGCCACGGGTGTAGGAGGCAGGAGTGGCCCGGGCCACGGGTGTAGGAGGCAGGAGTGGCCCGGGCCACGGGTGTGGGAGACAGGAGTGGCCCGGGCCACGGGTGTGGGAGGCAGGAGTGGCCCGGGCCACGGGTGTAGGAGGCAGGAGTGGCCCGGGCCACGGGTGTGGGAGGCAGGAGTGGCCCGGGCCACGGGTGTGGGAGGCAGGAGTGGCCCGGGCCACGGGTGTGGGAGGCAGGAGTGGCCCGGGCCAGGGGTGTGGGAGGCAGGAGTGGCCCGGGCCAGGGGGTGTGGGAGGCAGGTGCCTATGGTGCCATAGTCTGACCTTCCAGTGTGTGGCACTATAAGATATATACTAATCGTGAATTAGTCCCATTTAATGAATCTATCATAAAATATCATAAAACATTCTTAATGTTAGTTTAATTAGGTGTGAGTAGATTAGGCCTGCTTCAGCTGATCGGAATGGACCAGGTTTGGTTAGGTTAGGGTTGACCAGAAAAGAGAATGGGATGCCGGTCCTATGGTGCCATTTAAAGCCTGGCACCATTAATATGGATGTGATGCCTCGCCTTGCCACGGCTGAGTTGGAAGTGTTTCCATGTGCCATTGACCTGACTGAAGGTCGAACCCTGAGCTTTGGAACCCAGGTATATTTATCTAGTCTACACTGTACCATGGTCACCCACCATGGTCTAGGTTACCCCCATTGTATCATGGCATGTTCCATTATGCCGTGGGCTGTCTACTGTTCCATGGACACCCATTATGCCATACCATACAGGGACCATACTCATGGTCCCATTACCATGCTCTGAAGATGAGAGACGGAGTTGCTGTTTATGCAACTGTAACATCCAGTACACACACACACACACACACACACACACACACACACACACACACACACACAGGTATTGTGTGTTCACTCACTCACTCACTCACTCACTCACTCACTCACTCACTCACTCACTCACTCACTCACTCACTCACTCACTCACTCACTCGCCCCTCTCTCCAATCTCGCTTCTTTTTATCTCCACCCTACTTCTAGCCTCCGTCTACCTCTCCGTTCCCTCCCTTGCCTCTCCTTCTCCCTTCTCCCTATTTCCTTCAATCATCGTTCCTTCCCCCGTTCCCTCAGCAAAAAATCAAACCAGTGTAAACAGGGCTTGAAGGGTGGCGACTCTGAGACCCGAATGAAACCTGGAAATACCTCCCAGAGGCTTGACTGTAATATTTCGGTTCCTGGAACAAACATGTGACCTGGCAAACCTCTCCTTAGTCCTGGAACAAACATTCAACCTGACGAATCCTTCCTGGAACAAGCATGTGACCTCGTAAATCCTTCCAGAGCGCTGGACCAATCATGAAACCCGACAATGCCTTCTTGAAAAGTGCCTCAGGTATGTAGCACAATACCTGCTTTAGACCTGCCCGAGTCCTGCTGTAGGCCTGCTCTAGGCCTGCCCGAGGCCTGCTCTAGAGGCTCATTTGAGGCCAGGTATGGATAACAGAGGAGCTCCACAGTCGCGTCGACAGGTGAGAAATGCTTCGCTAACGACCGCCATTCTTCCCGCGGGCCGAGTTTTGAGTGCGCACGGGTTGGAGAAATTGTCGAGAATTTTTCACCTCCTTCATTCTTTAACTCCTTCCTGGCCGCCATGGTATTGGGAATGGGTTGGGTTATGTTTGGTGGTGATGCGGTGGACGGTGTTTCGTGTCGTTATGTCGCCCCCATTGTGTTGCGTTATTGTGTCGTCGCAATGGGCTGTCTGGTGTTGTGTCGTTGTGTTGTGTTGCTGTGTCTCACTTGCTGGAGGTAGAGACGCTATCTTGAGATGATTTCGGGGCTTTTTTTTAGTGTCCCCGCGGCCCGGACCTTAACCAGGCCTCCACCCCCCAGGAAGCAGCCCGTGACAGCTGACTAACACCCAGGTACCTATTTTACTGCTAGGTAACAGGGGCATAGAGTGAAATAAACTCTGCCCATTGTTTCTCGCCGGCGCCCGGGATCGAACCCGGGATCACAGGATCATAAGTCCAGCGTGCTGTCCGCTCGGCCGACCGGCTCCTCAGTAAGTAGTCTCAGTAAGTAGCCTCAGGAGCCTGAGTAAGTGGCTCCACGTGGAGCCACTTACTGAACTACTCCGTTAAGGCTACCTAATCCACCTCATGTTATCCTTTGTCCAAATTGTTGTGATAACACAATGCAGATGATATCATCTGCAAACATTATTACATATTATGTGAATGTTTATTATTGTGACTATGCCTATTCTGAGTGTTGAAATTAATGTTTAGGTGTAGTACACTAATTCCCCTCCCCCCCTTCCCCCCCCTCAACCATGGATCATGAGGGGGGGGGGGGAATTACACCCCTACACTGCTACCCACTCCTCTAGGAGTGCCATTATTCATTCCTCATAACTATTACTCATGCTAGTAGGATGAGGCTATAAAGCTTATGCTACACCGTAGTTATACAGCTCAAAGACTAATTTACTGTATAATCAACAAACTGAAGCAACAGAGAGAGGAAGAGCTAGTGAGAGATCAGCCCAGCCTCCTGTTTTGGCAGCTCTTATAGTAATGGTGAGGACCATAGTATATACGTTTGTACTATGAGGACTATAGTATATATGTTTGTACTATGAGGACTATAGTATATATGTTTGTACTATGAGAACTATAGTATATATGTTTGTACTATGAGGACAATAGTATATATGTTTGTACTATGAGGACAATAGTATATATGTTTGTACTATGAGGACTATAGTATATATGTTTGTACTATGAGGACAATAGTATATATGTTTGTACTATGAGGACAATAGTATATATGTTTGTACTATGAGGACTATAGTATATATGTTTGTACTATGAGGACAATAGTATATATGTTTGTACTATGAGGACAATAGTATATATGTTTGTACTATGAGGACTATAGTATATATGTTTGTACTATGAGGACAATAGTATATATGTTTGTACTATGAGGACAATAGTATATATGTTTGTACTATGAGGACTATAGTATATATGTTTGTACTATGAGGACAATAGTATATATGTTTGTACTATGAGGACCATAGTATATACGTTTGTACTATGAGGACTATAGTATATATGTTTGTACTATGAGGACTATAGTATATATGTTTGTACTATGAGAACTATAGTATATATGTTTGTACTATGAGGACAATAGTATATATGTTTGTACTATGAGGACAATAGTATATATGTTTGTACTATGAGGACTATAGTATATATGTTTGTACTATGAGGACAATAGTATATATGTTTGTACTATGAGGACAATAGTATATATGTTTGTACTATGAGGACTATAGTATATATGTTTGTACTATGAGGACAATAGTATATATGTTTGTACTATGAGGACAATAGTATATATGTTTGTACTATGAGGACTATAGTATATATGTTTGTACTATGAGGACAATAGTATATATGTTTGTACTATGAGAACTATAGTATATATGTTTGTACTATGAGGACTATAGTATATATGTTTGTACTATGAGGACTATAGTATATATGTTTGTACTATGAGGACAATAGTATATATGTTTGTACTATGAGGACAATAGTATATATGTTTGTACTATGAGGACTATAGTATATATGTTTGTACTATGAGGACTATAGTATATATGTTTGTACTATGAGGACAATAGTATATATGTTTGTACTATGAGGACAATAGTATATATGTTGTACTATGAGGACTATAGTATATATGTTTGTACTATGAGGACAATAGTATATATGTTTGTACTATGAGGACTATAGTATATATGTTTGTACTATGAGGACAATAGTATATATGTTTGTACTATGAGGACTATAGTATATATGTTTGTACTATGAGGACAATAGTATATATGTTTGTACTATGAGGACAATAGTATATATGTTTGTACTATGAGGACTATAGTATATATGTTTGTACTATGAGGACAATAGTATATATGTTTGTACTATGAGGACAATAGTATATATGTTTGTACTATGAGGACTATAGTATATATGTTTGTACTATGAGGACAATAGTATATATGTTTGTACTATGTTTGTACTACTGCCCGAAACGCTTTGCGTAATAGTGGCTTTAGGCATTGTATGTACTAGATCTATCTATTAATCCAACAAACTTTGTAAAATCTCTTATGTATGTACCTTACCTAAATAAACATTTATTTATTTATTTATACCGACGTAGAACACAATTAGAAAGTACAAATCGGTACTATTGAATTTGGGCAAACTGGAAAAGAATTTCTATTTATGTTACAAAGACGAAATAAACTAACCTAACTTTCCTAGGCCTAATAGACGCTATCTGAGGCCTAATATAGTACATATGTGTGCTATACTAGGCCTAGGAATATTTAAGTTAGTTTTTTAGCTTCATTTTTTTCCGGATTCGGTAAAGTGAATAGTACAAAGTTCTACTAATTGCTTAGTACGTCAATGTTTGTACTATGGTGCACCTCATAGTTACAAAAACTACTATCTAAACAGAAGAACGGGCTGGATAGATAGATGGAGAGAGTAACAGGGTACCTGGTTGTAAACCTATTGGCTGGTTGCGTTGCAAGGGCAAACAAGTAGGGTACTAAGGCTTAATAAGCTGACCTCTTAGAAAGGGGGAATTCTAAGCTTCGTAGGGAGTCTGAACTCATCCTAACCTGTATCTTCCTGTGATAAACTTGAACATATAATTAAATCGGAAAAGGGAGAGGGACAAGTAATAAGGAAAGGTAGGGGAAATAAATAGGCAAGAGAGTGAGGCAGGGAGAGGCAAGGGAAACAATGTAGGGAGGGAGGGAAATAGGCAAGGAAGGAAGGAAGGGGGGGGGGGAAGGGAAGAGAGGAAAAAATATGTTTGGTGAGGACGAAAAACGCAATTATGGTAATGAATCATAATTACATTCACCGAGACGCAAATTACGCACTCCAGTGAGTGAGGTGAACTGAGTGTGAGTGTGTGTGCGTGGAGGCATTTTTATTTACTCACCTGTTTATGTTTTTGGAGCGAGCTTCAGCTCCCGGTACCCACCAGGATCTGAATGACTATCATGAATGGAGTTTACGTCAACTGCATCCCCCAATAACTTCGATTCCGTGTCTAGACAGCCAGCCAGCCAGCCAGCCACCCATCCAGCCACCCAGCCACCCAGATACACAGAGACACCGAGACAAACACACAGACGGGAAGTTAGAGAGTTTACAAACCTCGGTTTACCGTAGCCAGAGAGCGAATATACACCTTCATTACTGTACTCAACTCTGCCTAAATCCGCAAGATGGAACTGACACCACTAGCGACTGTGAAACAGTTTACCTACCACTCAGTTGTCACTCTTGCAAGACCCCAGGTCCAGTTTACCTCTAAGGTTTACTATAAAAAAGGAAAAACAACATCTCGAACTCTGAAGTTTACGAGGACACACACAAAAGCTGTGTCCATCTTTTCTTGAGCAGTGTGACACTGAAGATTCAGGGATACAGGAAGATACAGATACAGGGATACTTGCATGGTCATTCTAGGATGATAATTATCATACTCCAGGTAATCAGGGACAGGAAGCCTGTATTTAAACCTATCGAGGTACCCCTATGGCAAACTACTGACCTTCTGTATGATGCAACCCACAACAGTCTTCTGTTTCCAGGTTACCTATTTACTGCTAGGTGAAATGTAGCATCAGACGGAAGTAAACTTGCCCACCCGTTCTGCCCTGGCCGGGGATTGAACGCGGGTGCCTTGATTGCAAGTCGAGGACGTAGCCCACTGTGCGACAGGACACATTATGATACCCACCTACGGCCTCGTTGTTTGGTCTGTCCTCCTCGTCTGTCTGTGTCTGTCTGTGTCTGTGTCTGTGTCTGTGTCTGTCTGTGTCTCTGTGTCTCTGTCTGTCTGTGTCTCTGTCTGTCTGTGTCTCTGTCTGTCTGTGTCTCTGTCTGTCTGTCTGTCTGTCTGTCTGTCTGTCTGTCTGTCTGTCTGTCTGTCTGTCTGTCTGTCTGTCTGTGTCTGTCTGTCTGTCTGTGTCTGTCTGTGTCTGTCTGTCTGTCTGTCTGTCTGTCTGTCTGTCTGTCTGTCTGTCTGTCTGTCTGTGTCTGTCTGTCTGTCTGTGTCTGTCTGTTTGTGTCTGTCTGTGTCTGTCTGTCTGTCTGTCTGTCTGTCTGTCTGTCTGTCTGTCTGTCTGTCTGTCTGTCTGTCTGTCTGTCTGTCTGTGTCTGTCTGTGTCTGTCTGTGTCTGTCTGTGTCTGTCTGTGTCTGTGTCTGTCTGTGTCTGTCTGTGTCTGTGTCTGTCTGTGTCTGTCTGTGTCTGTCTCTGTCTGTCTCTGTCTGTCTGTCTGGTCATTGGGTGACTGTCACACCCCCCCCCCACAGTCACCCAGCGTGGGTGACTGTCACACCCCCCACAGTCACCCAGCGTGGGTGACTGTCACACCCCCCACAGTCACCCAGCGTGGGTGACTGTCACACCCCCCCACAGTCAGCCAGCGTGGGTGACTGTCACACCCCCCCACAGTCAGCCAGCGTGGGTGACTGTCACACCCCCCCCACAGTCACCCAGCGTGGGTGACTGTCACACCCCCCCACAGTCAGCCAGCGTGGGTGACTGTCACACCCCCCCCACAGTCAGCCAGCGTGGGTGACTGTCACACCCCCACAGTCAGCCAGCGTGGGTGACTGTCACACCCCCCCACAGTCAGCCAGCGTGGGTGACTGTCACACCCCCCACAGTCAGCCAGCGTGGGTGACTGTCACACCCCCCACAGTCAGTCAGCGTGGGTGACTGTCACACCCCCCACAGTCAGCCAGCGTGGGTGACTGTCACACCCCCCACAGTCAGCCAGCGTGGGTGACTGTCACACCCCCCACAGTCACCCAGCGTGGGTGACTGTCACACCCCCCACAGTCAGCCAGCGTGGGTGACTAATTAACGGCTGCTCATCATACTTGTCTCATCCGTCAGCTCATTGCAAATTGAACTCGTGAGCTTGGTGAAAGATCTTATTAGCGAGAGATTATACCAAGCCTGCAAAACCCTAATTGAAATTGTGTCCCCCCCTTCATCTACCCCCATCTACCCCCATCTACCCCCCCCCCTCTCCTACGCAGGCCCCATTCCCCCCTCTCCTCTCTTCATCCCTTCTTTCCTATCCTCACTCCCCCTCAGCCCAGTTCCCCTTTACTTCACGGTTCTTGGTCAGGATAATGAGGGTGGTGTTCTTGGTCAGGATAATACCCGAGGGAAGTTCTTGCAGGAAGAAACAGACCAACCGAGCTGTGGTGGGTGTGTAGGCCTACGGGCAGCTACAAGCAACAAACAGCCTGTTGCACCAAGTTATCGCAAGTCGAGTCTAGCCTCAGGCCGGACTCTGGGAGTAGAACAACTCCTGAGACCCTCTACAGGTATGATCCAGGTAAGCGACACATGAGGTGGGGGAGGAGGGGGGTGTGGGAGTGTGTAGGGGGTGGGGGGAGCTTGTGAGAATGGCAACAAGGGGGGGCGTTAATGGCAATACGGTTTAATAACGGCCAAATTTCTCGTCTGAGTATAAACGTTTGATGATAATGTTATGGGATCCGTCCGCCAGGGGCGCGACGATGCCGGTACAATAACAACCTCCTTTAAGATGCTCAGTGATCCATATATGCAATGTTTACAAGCTCATTCACCCATTGCGGTCGTTACTAGAGGCGTTACTCTTTATTTATAATACCGTGGCTCATTCTTCTCTCAGGTCTAGATATAGGTAAGGCATTGTGGCTTCAACTACACAAGCTATATCCTTCATATTGATGGTAAATATAGCGACTGTGTGGGCACATGTACATAATAGTACTTAAAAGGTTTCTACATATTTGCCATGCCTATCTAACAGCCTGACTTGATGGGGTGGTCCTCAGCCTGACTTGATGGGGTGGTGGTCCTCAGCCTGACTTGATGGGGTGGTGGTCCTCAGCCTGACTTGATGGGGTGGTGGTCCTCAGCCTGATTTGATGGGGTGGTGGTCCTCAGCCTGACTTGATGGGGTGGTGGTCCTCAGCCTGACTTGATGGGGTGGTGGTCCTCAGCCTGACTTGATGGGGTGGTGGTCCTCAGCCTGACTTGATGGGGTGGTGGTCCTCAGCCTGACTTGATGGGGTGGTGGTCCTCAGCCTGACTTGATGGGGTGGTGGTCCTCAGCCTGACTTGATGGGGTGGTGGTCCTCAGCCTGACTTGATGGGGTGGTGGTCCTCAGCCTGACTTGATGGGGTGGTGGTCCTCAGCCTGACTTGATGGGGGGTGGTGGTCCTCAGCCTGACTTGATGGGGTGGTGGTCCTCAGCCTGACTTGATGGGGTGGTGGTCCTCAGCTTGGACGAACACGGCCTGAGGCTGGGCTGGTGGCGACGGCCTCAGCTTGGACGAACACACCTGAGAGTGGGCTGGTGGCGACGTCCTCAGCTTGGGCGAACACACCTGTGGATGGGCTGGTGGTGACGGCCTCAGCTTAGACGAACACACCTGAGGGAGTGCTGGTGCCGACGTCCTCAGCTTGGACGAACACACCTGAGAGTGGGCTGGTGGCGACGTCCTCAGCTTGGACGAACACACCTGAGGGAGGGCTGGAGGCCAGCGCCTCAGCTTGGACGAACACACCTGAGGAAGGGCTGGTGGCGACGGCCTCAGCTTGGACGAACACACCTGAGGGAGGGCTGGTGGCGACGGCCTCAGCTTGGACGAACACACCTGAGGGAGGGCTGGTGGCGACGGCCTCAGCTTGGACGAACACACCTGAGGGAGGGCTGGAGGCCAGCGCCTCAGCAGAGGGCTCCATGCAGCCTCCAACACAAGTCTTCAAGCAAGCACGGAGACGGAGAGGAAGATGAATAATAGCAATAATTATAAACTATAAAAATGTGAAGCATAAATTCAACAATGAAAATGGAAAGAAGACAAGTTTAACAAAGTATGAAAAAAAAAAACAAGACAGCGGGAACGGTGGGAAAATTCCCCATTAACCAAGAGAGCAATTAGGTGCTGCTGAGGACAAATTGCCTTCAGACTTTTATGCGAGTCCTATTAATTTTAACTATCAAATTAGGCTGGAACCATAATTACACAATAATTGAGAATCTCCTTTTTAGGCTGAAAAAGTGGGGAGGGATTTTTTTTTAACGGGGGGGGGGGAGACTAGGGATTTCTGTAGGTGTTTACAATGTAAACAATGTTATTAAGGCGACGTCCTTGTTGGTCGGGTGGAACGGTCTTTAAAGGGAAAGACCTGAGGAAGTCATCCCAGAGATGGTTAGAGGTAGGGAGGAGCCATCCCAGAGATAGGGATAGGGGAGGAGCCATCCCAGAGATGGTTAGGGGTAGGGGAGGAGCCATCCCAGAGATGGTTAGGGGTAGGGGAGGAGCCATCCCAGAGATGGTTAGGAGTAGAAGAGGAACCGAACCATCTGAGAGCGATGCGGTCTGATTATTTCAGCTTTTCCTCGTAGCTCAGTCCTCTTAGTTCAGGAACCAGTTTTACAAGAATCCCTGGCACTTTCACCTTTTTTTTTACATGCCGGATCCTCTTAGATGCCCCGTACACTTCCAACAGTCAGAAAATGTTAATGCAGTCTCCGTGGTGTAGTGGTAAGACACTCGCCTGGCGTTCCGCGAGCGCTATGTCCTGGGTTCGTATCCTGGCCGGGGAGGATTTACTGGGCGCAATTCCTTAACTGTAGCCTCTGTTTAACGCAACAGTAAAATGTGTACTTGGATGAAAAAACGATTCTTCGCGGCGGGGATCGTATTCCAGGGACCTGCCCGAAACGCTACGCGTACTAGTGGCTGTACAAGAATGTAACAACTCTTGTATATATCTCAAAAAAAATAAAAAAATAAAAAAAAAAGTGCTGTATTCAGTTGTCTGAAAGATCTTCTACCCGGGAAGAAACACCCATCCAGGCAATAGCTTTAGGCGTTTTTTCCACCATTCCCTCATCACCAAACATCTTATCTTCGCTAGACACGCCAGACTCATCGCAAACCCAACTTCAGAGTGAGTGAAGGTGTTCTATTGGCTGGGAATGAAGAACTAGTCAGCGTGGACAATTATACAACTGTCCCTCGCTGGATCCTGGAAATAATGTGGTAGGAAACTGCTCTCACAAGGGAATGGTTTGTTGACTATGTCCCTATTGTCACACGAGGGAGAGTATATGTCTCTTTTGGGTCGTTTCCCCGTCACATTTGTCGTGGAACAAGTCCCACCTCGACACCCAAGGAATAGATCTCGTCGCTGTATCAGCCCCTGTCCCACTGGGTCCCGCGTGCTGCATCAGCCCCTGTCCCACTGGGTCCCGCGTGCTGTATCAGCCCCTGTCCCGCTGGGTCCCGCGTGCTGTATCAGCCCCTGTCCCACTGGGTCCCGCGTGCTGTATCAGCCCCTGTCCCACTAGGTCCCGCGTGCTGTATCAGCCCCTGTCCCGCTGGGTCCCGCGTGCTGTATCAGCCCCTGTCCCACTGGGTCCCGCGTGCTGTATCAGCCCTTGTCTCACTGGGTCCTAGTGCTGTATCAGCCCCTGTCCCGCTGGGTCCCGCGTGCTGTATCAGCCCCTGTCCCGCTGGGTCCCGTGTGCTGTATCAGCCCCTGTCCCGCTGGGTCCTGCGTGCTGTATCAGCCCCTGTCCCGTTGGGTCCCGCGTGCTGTATCAGCCCCTGTCCCGCTGGGTCCTAGTGCTGTCCCAGCCCAGGTCCCGCTGGGTCCCGCGTGCTGGCGTATATATATATCAGCTTCAGAGGATATATTCACCTAAATCTCGCCCTGTATCTCATCCAATCAAGGGCTGAGGAATGAATCGGTCAATAAAGAGAGAATATACACGTGTGGTAAGTGGTGGGGAGGCTATCTGACCCGCTGATTGGCTGATGGGGAGAGACGAGGAAATCTTAAAGCTGATTGGTTTGTGGGGAGATGGGGGGCAAGGAAGGGGTATGTGATCCTCCAACTGACTGGTGGGGAGGAAGGAAAGGAAT